CATAGCAAACTTTACATTCTCTTAAAATCTAAAAAAAACTAATCCTACAGCAAAACTCAGCAAGAAAAAAAGGCGAAGGAGATGAACAGGCTGTTAACTTGGTATATTTTTTCAAAAACTGTGTTTCAGCAAGGCTTCCTCTAAAGTAGAATGAATTTTTGAAAATCATAACGTGACTAATAAGAAGAAAAGTCCTCCTACAATAGAGTCATTTTCCAAGATAATGGCGGGGGAAATCCTGAGAACTTAATATCTTGTTTACTATGAAGGCCACTGTCTCAATGGCTAACGTCACTGGGCTGATTATATATCGCACGACGCAAGCTTTCGTTAGCAGGTTCCTTGTGCAATGCCTGGCAAAGGCAAGGAATCGCAACCGCGCAAGCACAGGTGACGAGGGAGCAGCCGGCTACACCACACACTCCTGGACACGCCCACCCACGTGTACGCCGGCCAGCTCCTTCCCAAGGACGCCGCAGCGGGTGTGTGAACGCCACGACCCAGCTCCGCGCCTGAGAAATTAGGGGAGGGGTTTAACCTCAGGCAGGGGCCGCACCGCGCGGCCGGCGTGTGGCGGCCCGACTCTCAGCTAGTGCCCAACCAGATACCCGGTTTCTCACCCTCCCAGCGCTCGCAGCTTCCGGAGCGGCACTGGTAGCAGCCAGGTTACGACGGCTGGAGCTAGGACTGATTAGGGATCTGGGGAGAGCTAGCAGCTCCCCCTTACGCAAACGAAAGCAGCAGACGAGAAGCTGACGACTGCCTTCCAGTCTTGCCTGCTTCCAGGCCTCCAGCGTGGATGGCAGCGCTAGCAAAGGAGAAGCAGTATTTTACTCACCCAGCGTGGGCGCCTGGGGTTCCACAGCGAAGGCTGCCATCGCCGCGGCGGCAACTGCACTTACTCCGGAACCCTCCCAATTTTCAAAAATGGCGGAAACTGTCCCCACGGACAGGGGCACGTTACCCTATGGCGTTACGTAACTTCCGGACACGCGCCCTTCTCCAACTGTGGGTGCCGGAGCCATTTTGGAATAGGGCAAAAGTCTGGCCGTCCGGAAGTTTGTGATGGAAGCTTTGCCCTGGGACCGTGAATTCTGGAACCGAATTGTGATAGGAGCAGTGTTTTTGGTCACAATGTGAGCCTTTTCGTTGGTGTGTGGTTGAGTTTCAGAAGAGCACTGAGCCTTTTTTACAATATGTGTTTCCCAGTATTATGTCATCTGTCAGTTTTTCAGAGCAACGCCTGGAGAACATGGCTTAGTGACAGAATTGGTGCCTCTCTTCAGTATCGATTTCTGGGCTTAGTACGTGACTCAGCGCGTTTTCTAACTTTCTGTCTACCATTTCTTTTCATGTGTATGCTAGGTGGCCACAATTTTACTCTAAAGGTCAACTTACAAAACGCTCTTTTATTACATGTTAATACATAGGAGAATAAAAATAGGAAATTTCTATGTAAATGTGTAAATAGGAGGATAGCAACAAAAATAGTAATAAACACTTGTGTATCCTCCACGCCGCAGAATCCTGTGTACTCCTGCCAGTGCCATCCACAATCCCTCACTTTGCTGCTTTTCATAAAAACAAGTACAAATTCCTGACATACATTCTATACAAGTATATGTGTATGCAAAAATGCTTGTTTACCTTTGCTTGTTTACTAATTATAAAAATATGCTATGATGTGTATTCTGAGATGCTTTCTAGTCTGCATCAAGTTCATTATCCTCAAAAATCCACTCATCTTTTATTTGCTCTAGCACTCCCTAAATCCCTAATCCACCAAGAGTCTTGTTATTGGAGTGAGGCACTAATTCCATCAAGCTATGGCGTAGTGGAGTAGGCCTCTGCCTGAGTTGCCAGCATCCCATATGGGTGCCAATTCAAAGCCCAGCTGCTCCTCTTCCTAATCAGCTCTCTGCTATGGCCTGGGAAAGCAATACAAAATGGCCCTAGTGTTTGGGCCCCTGTACTTGCGTGGGAGACCCAGAAGAAGCTCTTGGCTCCTGGCTTCAGATGGGCCAAGCTCTTGCCTTTTTGGCAATTTGGGAAGTGAGCCAGTGAATGGAAGATCTTTCTCTCTGTGGCTCTACCTCTCAAATAAATAAATAAAATCTAAAAAAAAAAAAAAAAAAAAAAAAAAAAAAAAAAAAAAAAGCAAGTTACCAGAAATAAACCTTTAAAACCACTTGTGTATCAAATTAAAATCTTTTAAATGTACATGAATTGAATTGTGTCCACAAAAAAGTCATGTTAAGTCCTAACCTCCCTACCAGTGAATGTGACCTTGTTTAGAAATAGGATCATTGCAGATGTAATCAAGATCAGATAAGATCATACTGAATTACCACAACCTTGGTGACCTAAAACAAAATAAATTTAACTCTTATACTTCTGGAGGCCAAAAAACCAAAATGAGTTTCGTTGGGGGCTGAAATTAATGTCAGCAAGACTGATTTCTTCATCAGGCTCAAAGAAAGATCTCAATTTCCTCGCCTATTCTGGATTCTTGATGCTACCCATATCCCTGCACTTACTGTACCTTCCTCTGTCTTCAAAGCCAGTGGCATCTATCTGACATTGCATCCCTAAGCATCTGTCATCATATGGTCTTCTGTAGTTAAAATCTCCCTCTATTTCCTCTTGTAGGATATAAACTACATTTAGGGCTTACCCAGATAATCCAAGGCAATTTTTCTATTTCAATTCCCAGTTGATATGATTGAATTAACAATCACCTCTGCAAATGGCTTTTTGTCATATAAGGTGGCATTCAGTTTCCCGAGTTCAGGGTATGGATATCTTTGGGGACCATTATTCAGCACTGCAACACACAGTGATTCATTTTTTTTAATTAAACTACCAAGAAGGGTTCACCAATGAAATAATTTGCATGCAAAGTACAATCTAACCAAACAAAATAACATTATGTGCTTGTTAAAAAGAGTAATATGGATTTGATTTGTGAGTGTGTATATTGAGCTAGAAAGATCTCTGAGATCAATATAATGAAACTAATTTGAAAACAAATATATATGGCATCATTTCATTTTTATTTAACAAAAAGATTCATTTGGGGCGGATAGTAAGACAGAGGGGGACGATTTGTTTAAATAAAGGGGCAAAGTTGGAAAACTTTTTACCAAACTGTTAACAAGAAAGATGGAATAGCAAAGAAGCGTACTGGAGGATTTAGGAAGAGACTTACTTTATATAGTTGTTTGTGAATGATGAGAGGTGCTGTTGACTGTCCTCAATATTTTTCATCTTTTTTTTTTTTTTTTTTTGACAGGCAGAGTAGACAGTGAGAGAGAGAGACAGAGAGAAAGGTCTTCCTTTGCTGTTGGTTCATCCCCCAAATTGCCGCTGCGGCTGGCGCGCTGTGGCTGGCACACTGCACTGATCCGAAGCCAGGAGCCAGGTACTTATCCTGGTCTCCCATGGGGTGCAGGGCCCAAGCACTTGGGCCATCCTCCACTGCCATCTCAGGCCACAGCAGAGAGCTGGACTGGAAGAGGAGCGACCAGGACAGAATCCAGCGTGTGCCGATATGCTGGCACCGCAAGGTGGAGGATTAGCCTGGTGAGCCGCGGCGCCAGCCAGTATTTTTCATCTTAAAAATGTTTTTTCTTAAAATCACTTATCTTTCTTCACCTGCATTTAAATGTTTTACCCTTTTAATTGGCTTTTTCCTCACAAAGCTATAAAGATGCCCAGTTCACCCTATCTTGAGACCCCTAAACGTTGAGCCTCTTCCTAATTTCTAATTTCTCTCATATTTCTTTTTTCCAATATCCCAAAAGAAAGATCTACAGACTTTTGATGATCTGTTTCCCTGTCTTCACATCTCACTTTAATTTTAATTACTGACTTTCTGTGTCAATTGTGTCCCAAAATGAAGTTACTGACAACTATTTCCTAATTGACAGATTAGGCTTGTTTTCTTTATACTTGCAGTATTCAACAGCATTGACAGAAATAAATTCCCTTTACTTCCCCACCCATGTAATCCAGTCAGTTCTCCCTTTATTCTTTACAAACCCCTATCCTCTTGTGAACAAATCTTCACATTGTATTCCTTGCTCACTACAGTTGCCCCACCCAGCATCCCTTCACTTTCCGTTCCAGTTTACAAAGTCCTGTTTTTCAAGAAGCAGTTCAAGCCTGTCTGCCATGAAACCTGCCCTAGCCATGCCAGTTCTCAGTGATCATTCTATTCCAGAACGCCTGACACATTAACCTCTGCCACTCCTCTGCTGTACATTTTCAGGCCCACAGAATGGATTTTCTTTTTTTGAGAGTCAGAAATGTGTAAAATTTCCAAACTGATTTATTTTCAATAAATGTGATATATTCACAATAAAACTGCTCATGCTATCACATATACTGAATATTCATAAGCATTTATACATTATTAATATACAACTTGTTACTCTTAACATCCCACCTTCAGTCTATGAAACAAAAACAGAATTTTTAAAAATTCAAGTGAAGAAAAAATCCACCTTTAGCAGGACTTTAGAAAAAAGATGGAATCTGTGGTCTTCAGACAGAGAACAAGCAGAGGGAGCATCTTTTCATTCATGTTCTAGTCAGCTCAGCCTTTGGCAGCTGGTACACCATGAGCTGTCATTCACTTAGACTGTGATGTCACATAAAAGCACAAAGGGGAACCACGACTTCACCAGACCCGAAGTGATCTCCAAGAGAGCTTTATGATGTTTAAGATATGGAGATCATCTCCAGAAAAATACAAAATCATTAGCTATTTTTCCATTATCTGACCTCTATAGACAATAATGACTAAAGCCATGTTGGTATAAATTATTAAATATGGAAATTTAAGTTTTCCTGATAATTTCATTACTGCACACAATTTACAGAAAGGCAGCCAAATTGCAGACATTGCTGGCTCACTGTTAATGCACGTGAGAGGCCACAAATGGTGGCCTAAGTACTGGAGTCCCTGCAATCCACATAGGAGACCAGGAAGGAATTCCTGGCAACCTGGCTTTTGCCTAATCCAGCCTCAGTTATTGCAGGCATCTTTATCTCTATCTCTCCTTTGGCACCCTCTGGCACTTTGCTTTTTAAATAAAATAAGTGTTTTAAAAAAAGAAAGAAAGGCAGCCAAGCATCAAAAGAAATACTGATTGACCTTTAGCCTCTTAATCAATAATGGTTCCTTTCAGTGGAAGTGAAAAAAATTCAAAACTTTCACAACTTTAGATGTAGTTTTATTTCCTGTTCTTCCATTTGAACTATGAGATAGGTTTAATCAGATAGTTGAAATGCTCATGGGAGTTTATAACATACAAAATGAACAACTTAAAAAAAATGGGATTTGGGAAGTGCTATGTCTGGGATTTCCCTTGAAATAATCTGCTGGGGTAAGGAAAGCAGAAGTGGAAGATGAGGGATGATGACTTAGATACACATTAAACAAGAAAAGCCATGAGTTAATAAATGTTAATGGTGATGAATTAAGCTGTTCTTTATTATTTTATGAATGTTTGATATTTCCTCTAAATAAATTATTTTTTAAATCAATAAACCTAAGTTCTATCTCACTTTGTGTGAAAAATCAATTGGGGCAGGCATTATGGTGAAATTGCTACAGCTACTGCCTGTGACACAGACATCCCATTTAAATACCGGCATCCCTGCTGCTCCACTTCTGATCCAGCTCGCTAATGCTCCTGGGAAAACAGCTGAGAAGGGCCCAAGTGCTTGGGCCCCTGACTCCCACGTGAGAGACCCAGAAGAGGCTCATGGCTCCTGACTTCAGTCCAGCCCAGCTCTAGCTATCTGGGAAGTAAACCAGCAGATGAAAGAATCTCTCCTTGTGTCTCTCCCTGTCTTTGTTGATAATTCTGCCTTTCAAATAAATAAATAAATCTTTAAAAAGCAAGAAAACTCAATGAAAAAAATGAAACTTTCCTTGCTTAAAAATTGTTGGGGCTGGCACTGTGACGCAGCGGGTTAACGCCCTG